TATGAAACCATTCGAGCGACTCGTAAAAATACTTTTACACCGAAATGATTAAAAAGTTTTTAAAAATTAAAAAATATGAATAAAATTGACAAGTAACTTTTAGTAGCGAAAAGAGTAATCATGATAAATAAAAGTAATGCAAGTAAAATACAATGCTGGTTTTATTGATGTAAATTTGAACGTTTTCACCTTACACTCATAGAGCATCAGGAGAGGTTAATTACGGTGACGTCGCATCGCGACCCTTCGCGCGAGAATATAGTGTTACGGAACGCCATTATTTATTACTGACGTCATTAACCCTTGCCGCTTAATATAATGTGATGAAGAGACTTATATTCGTACGTGTGCCAGCCGATAAGCGCATCGAAGGGAAAAAAGGGTATGTAAAATTTAAATGGAGAGCTTAATAAGGCTCGATATTACTGGAATTCACGCTTCTATTAATTCTGTGTTAAAATTCTACATATTATAAAAGTGCATTTTATTTCAATAATATAAAAAGTTAAACTATAATAAATAAGTGTACAGTTATATCAACAGCTTTAAGTTTATCAAAAGTTAATAAATCCTTTGAAAAATCCGCCGTAGATGTGAGGAAGTGAATGAATTATTAATCTCCACGTCTATAATTTAAACTTTGTCTTAAAATAGAATTTGAGCGAGACTTCCGCGTTAAAAATTAATACTTTTAATGGAGGAGCATGATGTGCAAATAAATTTTTATTCAATTCCAGAAGTTGGATAGTCGAGCAAACGGGGGGAAAAAAAACCTGCAAATGTTTCGCTTGAGTTTGTATATTCATCGAGCGCGGAGATCTAAAAACAATTGAAAAGGCGCTCAAAGGGTTAATTACGGAACGGCCCGACGGTATCGAGGGAAGCGAACGTCAAGACGACGGTCAATATCGGCGCGCTGAGAAAAGTAGCCCGAGAAACGCGGCGGTCCATCTTTTATTCATGTCACGTCGACCAGAGCCTCGCTCCGCGGCTCTCCCTGTCTTCCCGGGTCCAAACTGCATCCGGGGGCTGTTACGCGTCCGCGACGGGCGTGTCATTTTGCGCGATAACGCGCGCGTGTCGCGACACACGCGTGACACGTGAACGGTCGCTCTGCCCCGGCCGGCCACCCTCGATACACTTCGTCACGTATTCGACGGGAGTGCACTCTCCGCAGGACGTATACGTCCTTTACAAATACGGAAGTGTTGCTCGTAAATTCTCGTATCGACGACGAAGGGAAGGCCATATCCAAGATTTAATGAGTGAGTAAAATCACGTGAGAGTTTATTCGCGTTCGAGTCGACGACTTTTCGCGGCTAGGAAACGATCGTTTTATACTAACCGGACTTTATTGGCTCTTCGCGTGACTGCAAGGAGAAACATCGAACGAGTTTTATCATGATTTCATTGTTACATAATTTTATCATTATTCTATATATTAAAAACTTATTAAATTACTAATAATAAAATATTCCCGAAGCAATATGACGTCGCGGAAGAATGTTAGATCACGTTAATAAATTTCGGATTTAATTTCTCCTCGCTGAAGATATAAAAAATTATCCATTAACTTATTAAATTTTAATCTGACATCTTTCATTTAATATGAGATTGAAATTTCTGAAAAGCAATATTTTATTATTTGATTACATGATTACTGATGTCGCTTGTTATTTAAAAAATCATGCTCGTATTTACCAAGAAAAATCAACAAGAAACGATATCCAGTTCAGATTCTTCGTAGGACAGGCGTGATTCTGTAACAATTCCTAAAATACTTGTGCAAACAAGATTAGTCGCATGATAGTTGCAAATTTGGGCAGAACCGCGAATACGTGAGATCGAAATAAACGAAATGGATGGAAGAAGAGAAGATAACGAGCTATTCATCGGCCATTACGTCTGCAATCCGGATCCGAGATATATCGAGAATTAATTCTACAGCCTATTCGTCTCTCTACGCGTTTTGTTTGGATCACGAATTTATTGTCTTTTTTTTTCGTCGGCACGTGTAATGCATATGTTATGCGCAAAGTGTTTTCAGCGCATCGCTGATTTGCGTTACAAAGGCAAGTTTTTAATCACGCACACGCAGGTAAGCGACACGTGAAAAAAAACGCATGAATTTTATTCTACGGTGGCAAAATAACAATCCTTGAATTCAGGTACGGATATAATTTGTAACATAATAGTTTTTAACATCAAACGCGAAGTAAACAACGCATAACTTTTTTTAATATTAAAAATGGCATCCCGTGAGATAGCCTGCCCCGTTCATACGTGAGTATTTTGACACGTTCGTCTCTGAAAATAAATCTTGGTCGAGAATTGCCTGAAATTTACCTTCGAAATGAGGATCGTCAGACGAAAGGATTATAAATATTCCATATTCATTTCAACGTCACGATTATCCTTAATGGTCCTTTATTTTAACTCAATCCCGTAAATATTCAGCCGAGTTTCATTCACGTTGGAGCGCAAAGAGGTAATAATAACGTAATCGTCGGAAGTGCCACGTTCATATTTCACAAAGATTTTAAAAAGCCATCCAAAATAGTCGGCAATTGATGACGGAGAGCGCGGATGGGAGGGAAAAAGGGGCGGTAGAAAGTATGAAGGAGGGACAAGGATAAATCGTGATGATGTTCGAAACGACGCGTACCGAAAAGGTTTTTAATGGAAGATCGTAATGAAAAAGTCTCGGGCGCGAGTGAGGATTTCGCGAAACGTCTCCCGCAATCTCGCCTCCGCGCGCTCGGACTTTTTCCACGCCGACGACAATGGGCGCGCGAATATGTCACCGCCACTCGTTATCCGCGAATTATTTATTCTACGCCCGTCAATATTGAATTTGCCCCTATTATTGAAACATCCCGCTGGTAATTCGCTTCAACGCGCGCGCCGCTCGTAATCGCCGAATCCGCTTAATTTCATCAGAATCGGCGAATCGAGCGCAGCCGGAAACCGCGCATCTCCGCGAAAAATGGTATCGCTAATTCCTCTCGCGATTTATTAAGTGCACGTGTCCATTTGTAAACATGTAAAATTCTCTCGCTCACAATTCTAACGTCATTTTACGAAAGTTGGAATACGAAGATTTCGAAGAAATAATATCAAGAATAATACCAGGCAAGAAATCATCTAAGCGGAACAAAAGCAGGGGCTCGATCATGTATCTTTTCCTCTAGCGCGTGAACTCGTGAAAAGTTTCATTGACAAACTCAATATTCGCCAATAAAATTGTGCACTCTTCACGAATTCGCGCCGGTGGAAAAGATTGGCGATCAAGCCCCAGAAATAAAAGGGAAACACATTAATATACTAAACAGACTTTATCACAATATTATATAATTATTCCATTGCATCAGCAAGTGGATAACAGCAACATTTAATATTTGCAAATAGTAATATTTCAGTAATGTATGACAACGATTTATTTATATTAATCTATATAAATGCAATTTGCAATTCTCCATTTTATTATCGCTCTACATGACAAATAATATCTATTGATTCACTCGTCCGTAATATATTACTTTATACCCATTGAGCTTAACAAATTAACATGTCCCTATTATTTGCCATTCTTTTATTTAGAAGAAAGCAAGAAGCGTTTCCGCGTTAATATCATAATGCAACAGCCGCGGGGCCGATTAGCGTCAGTAATATGTCCCGAGCTCGGGCGCTGTCATCTAATAAACAGCGCGGCATACATAATAATCTAATGCGCGATGTTCGCCAAATATCTTGAAAGTTGCAACACCCAATTCCCCGTCCTTCGATATCAGCCGAAACTTCGGCCATTACTTCCGAGATTTGTGCCACGAAATACAAACATTAGATGTAAGGTCGCCCATCGTCGTGCAACGTGGGTCGCGTGACAATGGATATGCATCTTCCGCACTGATATAAGATGTGAAAAAGTTGAAGAGGTGAAGAGATTGCGCCGCGAGAAGCGGGGCTGGCGTTAGAAATTGGACGTTTCGGTACTCCGGGCTCGCGATCTACCCAAAAAAAGATTTCATTTCCCTTGGCGAGAAAAAGAAAACACGTTGTCGAATGTGGTTTTGAAAATAATTCGCAGCTGACTTCCTCGTAGCGACAACGGGCGCGAGATAACCGTGAACGCAAAGATAGCGCGCGCACTCGAAAGCGTTCTCTTATCATAAAGTACAATACATAATGCGGGATCTTATTGTACGGTACGAAAAGCACCTAACGATTCAGGTATTGAACAAAATATAATATCTGCAGTAAATATATATATTCGCGAGGGAAGGACTTCTCACTGACGCACAAGAATATCTTGAAATTCCGCGGAAGATCTATTTCTATCTTGGTGACATTTTCCATAAATAACCGTCGATGTCTATCTTTGAAGTCAACAGAGCGAGACTCACGCAATATATTTCTAGCAAAGTATCGCGCCGGATATTTCAGAAGATCTGTCAAGCAGATACTTCTTGTCCCTATTGCTTGCGAGAACGTCGCGGGGTTGAAAATTTAATCGAGTGCCGGCAAAGTAATACGTACGGATCTGGGTCGTTTCGCCAAAGGCGGTTGCGCGCTTTGCTGGCGTGCAAATAAATAATGCAAAAAGGTTGCGGGCGTCTCTGGATTATTTTATTTATTTTGAATTTAATTCGCAGCTCGCCATTTTTCCCCCCTTTCGGTAACTAAACCACGGAATTACGTCAAGTTCGGTGGGAACGCGAGGTGTTTTATAAATATGATAATCGACCGAGTCCGTAAAATCTGGGATGGTTTGTAAAATTGCGCGTGACATAGCGCGTTAGATTAACTAACGCATGTACGCATAGAGAAAAGAACATTACCATAGCAAATTTCCATTATATCCTGCACGCTACGATGTACATTCATCTCGATCTACGTCACCTTTTAATCTTACTCGCGTTATCTTCCGTGCACTTGAGATGATTTATTCCAAAACGCTTAACAAGGAACAGCGAATTTGACAAATAAAACTCATATTTCAGGTAACGTGGATCAGACGAAAAGACAGACAACTGCTCACATTGGGTAGAGACACACATTCCATAGATACACGTTTCGTTGTCGCAAACGGTCCTGGCTGGAATCTACTGATTAAGAATGTCAAGCAAGAAGACGCGGGTCTTTACGAGTGTCAGGTAATAAGTGATGTTCACAAGAAAATGCGCTATTCCCAAATAAATAGGGCAATGAATTAAATTGCAATCGTACTGTGACATGCATTGTCTTTGTGAAATATTACTCGTTAAAAAAATTAGGCATACAAATATACATTGAAATGTAGTTTTCTTAATTCAACTATAAACTTAAATATAACTTTTATATAGTCCATAAAATTTTGGCAATTTTGAAGACATTTGAAAATTGTGAGAATTGATATATCTTCACCCAAACATTCTATAATGACACTTTAATAGATTTCATTTATCATTTATCAATTTTCTGTGCATAAAATTAGTTTGCAATTTACTCAAAACTTGTAATTTGCCGAGAATTAATTCATTAATTTAAATTAAAGCAATTATTCCACTTGAAGATTATTCTAAGTTTCGAAACTTTAAAAAGAAATATCTCTCCTTAAGTAATATTTAATATCAAAATATAATCATCGTAGTATAAATTTACACTGTGATATTGTACTGATGACGAAAGTTATAGTTTGATATACAAAACAATTGTCTCCCCCCCCCCCCCTACAAAGACATCCAATTTCAAAAAGCAACGTGAGTTATTTCGACAAGTATTGCTATCGGCTGATTCTTAACAAACGCAATTTTTCTCCTCTCTCCGTAAAACGGAGTTTTTCAACCATAAAAAATAACAAGCGGGAGAATTGCCGAGTTCACGTTGCACCGATCTTTACTGCTGGCCGCATGCATCAAACGGCTGGTGTTTACCGGCTCAATCAGTAGTGGAAACCGATCGTGGCCAGACAGTGGTAATACATTTAATGTGTCGAACCTATCAAATATATAATAACAGTTTCCTCGATAGGGAGCTGTTATTTGTAGGGAACCTGTTGAGCGTCTCTCTTAATGTGACATATTAGCTTAATTATACTACAATTAAGTTAATATGTAATACGATATGTAACATCGCTAGAATTCTATTGTGGTTTTTACTTTTGCGTGCTGTTTTATTCTTTCTCGGACCTTCTATCGCATGATAGCGGATATCATGACAAATACATATGTATAACATATATGTACTTAAAGGACAGTATATTTTATAAATCATAGTTCTCGTTTCGCGATGCTCTGGCAAAACAGATCCAGACGGCACCGATGCAGCAGCGATTCGTGCGACTGAACATCACGGAGGCGTACTCGGTGATACCGGGTGGACCGGATCTTCACGTGAAGCAGGGAACCAGCCTGCGTTTGGAGTGCCAGCTGATGGCGGCTGCAGAACCACCCAGCTACGTGTTCTGGTATCGCGAGGCGCGCATGATAAACTACGACAACGAGCCCGGCGTTAGGTTCGAGCTTAGGGAAAACGGCTCCGTGCTCGTCGTAGAAAAGGTAAAGCTCTCACATGGCGCGAATTACACGTGTTCGCCGAACAACGCCAGGCCGGCCCACATCATGATACACGTCATCGAAGGTGAGCAATTGTCCGACTCATTGATCTTCCGATTCCTCAATATTTAAGTAATTTCCTCTAATACACAGATCAACTAGAACTAGACAATAAATGTGGTAATAATACATAACACCGTTAATCATCATTACAATTGAATATTTGGCACTTAATCACAATGAAGTGAATAAATATAGAAGAAAGTCCCCCCTCTTATGAGATAGGATTCTAATGTGAGATAGCAGAGTTTCTGCTAAATTAATAGGCGTCATCTGTTGGTTCCATCATGAATTTATTGCCCTTGGAGTGAAATCTGTTTAGTGAAAAATTGATTGTTAAGCCAACGGCACACGATACTACATTTCCTACTGGATTGCTTACGAGAGCCAATCAGGATTTAGCTTTAAGTCACCTGATCTAAAACTCTGAATCCTTATTGGATCTCGTAAGCAATCCAGTAAGAAAAATAGTATCGTGTGCCGTTGGCTTTAGATCGTGTAATCGTTGAGAAAAAAGATTTGTAATTGAATTTGGACGTTGAAAACTAGCTCGTATTAGAATCCTATCTCATAACAGAGGACTTTCATCTACTGTTTTCTCAAGTATAACTATAATGATTAGATGTAGATTGAAATACAATAATAGAAACGTGAAGGTAACGCGTGAAATATTTATGCTTATTGATTTTATGTCGGCCGTTCATCGCGGTATTGAAGAATGCATCATTTTTATACCCCGTCGATTTTATTGCATTCTCTTTCCATTTCAACTTTTGAAAAAAAATCTTCCTCGCCGATCATCAGAGCCGCTGAGAACTAAACATCCTTTCTCCACGGACCATTAAGACATTTACTTACGCTTTCACGTATATACGCGTGAAATCTGGATTCGGGTAAAAACAGACGTTGCCAAAGTACAGGGCGCACTTTATAGGGCGTAAAATCCGCGAACAATCCTCAATCTCGGAGGATCGTGGATAGGACCGCTCATTTTTTTAGTCTTAGCAGGGAAGGTTAATCAGTATTCTACTTCGGTTACTCAATTCCGGGGGCAATGGACGATTAAATTTAAAGCTTTTCATATATTAGCAAGGAAATATACACTTGCAATATAAATGCGTACACACGTTAATAACTAGTGAACGAACAAATAAAGATTCTTCTAGTCATCGAGAATTTTTTTCATTGTACGAACGAGCTATTTCTTTAATTAATTTAAATGCCGCATTATTATTGCAAATTAATGCCTTACTTTATTAATATTTTGCTTGCTTTTTGCCTAACGTACTGTAATTCAAGAAACAATAATTTGCCAATGCTTATACGACGTATCTTCAGTAGAGTGCAATCGGTAGAAAATAAGCTGCGAAAATGTAGCTAGATACTTTTCTCTTCGCGCCCAGTTGCTTTTCTCTCGCTCGCGTTGGATCCTATCAAAGAATCTCAACTATTTTCGCAGAGGAGGAGAAACCGGCGGCCATGCACGGAGGCGATCGGCGAAATTCCACGGCGGCTACGTCAAGCAGCACCATACTGATCCTCGTGGCTCTCCTGATTATTGCAGATGTAAGACAGTGCTTCCAGGTTCTCGTCTGCCACGCCACGTGACTATCGCAAATGTGATTGGCAAATATCGAGACTTTTTGGCAAAGTTCGTTGAGAGAAGTTCAAATATTTCGCACTTTTTTTCGGCGGTTTACAACGCCTTGTCGAATTCACGTACATTGTGATCCTTAGCTCATTTCACGTCTCGCTCTGGCGATGCGGGGCGAAACCCAAAGGTTCGCGGAGGAAAATGTGACAGATTCCGCGTGGGATCAAAGAAAAACCTATTTGCGAGTAAACTTAAAGCGAGAGGATTCAACTGCAGACAGTTTTCCGAGAACCTGTATCCCCAGTGGCGAAATCTAAGGAGGACTGCGAAGTTTCACGTAATCATGTAACTTTCGTTTAAAGAAACGTCTTATTCAAGTGACACTGCTTGATAGAAACTCCGCTTGAACTCGTAACGAGTGAATAATATTCGTGGAATGAGATTTGGTCGTCTTTCGACGTGGGCGAATTTGTTCGCGAACTTCAAGAACCAACTTGCTGCCTTGTTGTCGTTGGTCATCATAAACTCTCGTGCATTAAAACAAAAGTTTTTTTCCGCGAAAACTTATCGGCTCTGATTATGTTATAATATCTTCAAAGACGAGATTTTATTGACCGCTTATGAGCTAGGAATATTACTTATTTTCTTTTTCTCTCAGTACAAAATTGTCAATCTTTTCTGCGTTTCCAGATATTCGGAAATGTATGTCGATAAGAAATTTTAATATAAGGGAATAGGACAAGACGTTAATCTTTTTTTATAATATTATCGGTAAAAATAACAGAGAACAATCGTGACCTAGCAATATATATATATATTAAACGAATTCTTGAACTCTGGCGAAATTAAAAATCTTTTTCGACATCTTTACATTTCGTAGAGCATTACAATCCCAGATGTATTACATCTTCGCGATGAAATCTCGTCGTGAGGCAGACAACATTTCATCATGGGAATCAGGTATTATTTGCCCCTTATAGTTTGGCAAGTTTCTAGCAAGCAGTTTAATGCAAATGGGATATTGAGTTCTGTAAACAAAAGTTGCGCTTAGAACCGTCGGTTCAACGTTAGCTTTCAATGTTGATGATAATAAACTCTCGCAATTTGGCATTGTAAATATTATAGTAAGATAATGAAATTATCTCATATACGGATGCGTGCATTTGAATTTCAAGTAAAGATTTTTAAAAAGACTTGTCAGTGCGAATCATAGAATCAGATTCACACTCAAAATCGTATCCATAAATAAACTGCCAATTCGCAACTCGATTTAATCAGGAATAAAAGAAATATGTTTACCCGCACGACTCACGCGCATACTTCCAAAGTTGATTCTTTACAATACTTGTATTTGCTGTATATTAGAAAGCATGTATCAGCGTTGAAGTCATTTTATTTCATATGTGTGCAATATACAATATTGTCGTTATGCAAATTGAATAAATATATTAACATTCCCTAATCAGTAAGTTCAAGAAAATGTATTGCCAATAAAAGTTAAAAATAAATTTTTAAATATGTTATTTTACATTATAAAAATATGAGATAAAATGTTCTACTTTTACAGAATTTATTAGATGAAGTATTTAAATCATACATGATGTTAAGTAAGTATAATTAAATTATATTATTAAAACAAAGGAATTACATATGGAATTGAAATGTACAGTCTAATGAAATGGCTCGTAATAAATTGTTAAAACTTACAACAGTATTACTACTTTTAACATTAACGATGCCATTTGAGCGAATATCAAAATGCACACAGACCAAAATATTGGAAGTATGAAGAATACAATTATTAAGAATAACAAAAAGACGAATATCAAATGGCGAGTAGGAAAACATTATTTCACAAAATAATAAATTCAAACCCAGTGTTTAAAAACAGTATTTCAATAACTCGATAAAGGTTTGTTGTTTTAATCTTTCAAAAATTATTTTTTACAAAGATTATCATTAAAATTTTGTTTATTTTTTACGCAATTTTATTAAAATCAAATCAATATTTGTTAAACAGGATTAACAATAATAATTAGAAAACATCTTATAATTAGAGAAGGATGTGTTGTTAGTATTTTGAAGAGGTAAGTAAAAATAATTAACAAACATACTAAGTAGATATAATTAGTTGTTTTATAAATATATAATTTGTCGATAGAATTACGTTTTGTCTCTAGTGTTTAAACTTCATTAAACACGCGAAACAACAGAATAGCAAGTTACGAAAGAATAGCAATCGCTCAAAACAATCCAACACTCAGATAAAGTAATCCAACTTAAAACGCTTCGAAAACTTCCGTGTAATTTATCGATAAATTCCGACAAGCGTCTACAAGTGAAAGTAAGTTGAAAACCCATGATTGAAAAGAAAACTTCGAGTGTTTCGCTCGTTTGTCAAATCGTAGCTACTCGTATAAATTCGAACATAACAATAAAATGTCTTAGGCAAGGGAAAGATGTTGTGTTAAGGAACAATTATTATTCGTCATTCGCGTATTAGACGAGACGAAACAGTTGCAAATTTGCAGAAAAATGACAAATTTTTAAGAGTTATTTATCATTAATTGATAAAAATGTAGAAGTCTCTATTTAACCGTAGTTAGTTTTACTCGATTAGCTATTAAATATGTTACAATTCATCTCACCGTAATGTATTTCAAATGGATCGGAATTTCATGTTTAGAACGACCGATAAATTTTAATTACACGCCAACTTATAATTATAACGTGCAATTGCATCGCTGAGGACTCGTTAGATCCAGATTCACCCGGTATTCGATTCGTGCGCCGGGGGTTTCCGGTTAATTTCGCAAATTAAGGATACATCACGCGTCGATGAAGCGTTGGCGCAATTACGGTCACACGATAATTACAGTTACATTTTCGGTTTCAAGCTGCTTCCGCGGTTTCATTAACGCGAGAGGCGCTAAGTGTGTCACCAACTGTGTTTTAATATCGTGATATAATGTCGCCTTGTATCACGGAGTCTGCTTGGCGGTGGCTGCAAGACGGGCCGTCGCGTGTCATAGCGATACAAACCGAGACGTTTCGCTCTCGCCAAGCGGGGAATGTAATAACCCTCTTCGCCTCGAGTGCCTTCGACATATAACGAAGATATTCGCAGGATTGAACGCGCTCTATCGTGACACAAAGCGTTTGATAATTATCGATCAACGTTGTGGGATGTGATTTACGTACAACGCCAATATCTCCGGGTATCTAGTATCTAATACATATATCTGATGGGAATAGAATAGAAAGCGGATTGAGATCGCTCGGTGATTCAACAGACGCATAAAGGAATTCGATCCAATCAATTCCTTTCATCCATTCCTGGCAAATAATTATACTGATAACTTCCTAGCAAATAATTGACTAATTACTCTCTAAAAGTCAATCAGTGGATTATCACTGATAACGGTGACTATTCACTGATTCACAGTTACAAGCATAGCACTAAATAATTCAGTGCTATACTTATAACTGTTTTCAGTGATAACGCACTGATGGACTTTTAGAGCTGGTGTTAACGATTTCTGGCAAATAAATGCAACCGAAAAAATTCTATTAAATTCATTTGCTTTAAACTCTTCCGCTTGTATTTAACACGAGTCCTCGTGAAAGGTGAGTTTGATTGCTTTCGCGATACGACAAGGAGTCATTGCTGCGGAAAATATTAATCGTCGACTTACTCATCCGATAAGTTTCGGTCGCGATTCGCTCGGGTCGTCGAGAATTTTCGGGAAAATTTAATTCTTGTTTGAACGATTTATCCTCCAGAGAGAGAACAGTTCGCGAACAGTTTGTCTTTCGGGTCCCGTTGATAGCGATTTTCCCCTCGCACGGCGTGCGATTAGTTTCTTATTTAAGTTAACGACTTTAATTGTCGTTTGATCGCAAGAGTAAAACTACTAGAAAGTTTGCAATTGTGATCTGTTTTTGTCTCTCTCTTTCTCTCTCTCTCGCTCTTTTTTCTCTACTTCCGTAATCGATACAAATATGCACTTAAAAAAATGTCTGCATACATCTAAAAATTTATTGAGATACGTGACGCTGAAATATGCAGTTTCCCAAGAACTTTTATTCTATTTTGTGGTAAAGTTTGTTGAACCTAATATTTTACGAAGGTACGATAATTGCAGTAGATAATATAACATATTTTTTGAATATCTAAAAAATATATGAAAACTGTAAAATAATATTATATATACTGCTTTTTTGTGCAAAAAATATTATTTCCTTTAACAATGCAAAATTCACGCGATTATCACAGTTTTGTATCGAGTGGCATAATATAAAGCTATTTCTCTATCTCTTGATAGAAGATAATCTTTAAAATAATATCAATTATACATAAACTTTTCAGCGGCTCTTAAGATACTTTCATTAACTAGACGGGACACTTTTTGTCGCGTGAAACAAGATATCTCGAAATTTTGCAACTACAACGTCTACCTTGCCTTTTCATATTATTTAATTCCATCTACTACGTAAAGGAGTCCATTAAAAAGAACCGTCTCGTCGTAATTGATACCATTAGCCGAACGATGGACAATCCGATGGATCTGGACAGCTCGGTACAATGCGCGCCATCATTGTTCAATGGTAACAGAAGCTCGATTAATTAAATGAATGATCGTGTCACTCACTTTTTTCCCAGAGTCACCTTCAGTGCTCCGGAATCAGGATGTTATCTGTCATGGCAAATCCACCTAATGGGAAACTCCTTTTATATACCGTTGGGAGAAGCGGGACATGTACTAAACTAAGATCGTAATCCAAATACGCTTATCTTAACAAAACGTCGAGAGAGAGACAGGGGGGGAGGGAGACGCGGAAAGAAAGAAAGACGAAACTGCGCATCTCATAAAGATGAAAAATTCCTCGCATTTTTAATTTATGCAAATATTACGGAACGGAGCGGAACGATCTCATTCATTTTCTTAGCGTATTCCTACTCGCATACAAAGATGAAAGATGGAATATTTAAAACGGTGCATTCAGATTTCCATATTACTATTATTTATCGTATATTCCTCCCCTATATTTCTAACATTTTCAATAAAAAATATAATGAAATTCGCCGTCGTGGCATACATATTGTTTGCATTCGCGCTTATTACGTCTCGAGTTTCCGTAGGGCGCTCGCGTGACTTGGGTATCAAGATTTATGATTAAGATATTAATTGAAAATGCCTTTGAAAGTTGGAGCCATTGCTTTTTCCAGCTCCGAAGACACTTATTGTTATATCCCGGGTATATTTGAATTAGTTTCTCGAAAATTAAGCGGCGCCACGACTTTTGTCTACGGTACAGAGCCATTTCCAGCGAGAGGGACCTACTCGTATTTCACCGTATTAAAAATAATTTCAAAAAAAGGCTTCTTTTAATTTTCAATCGAGTCCGAGTTTTCGCGTGGAGGCGCAGGGCGCGCCGAAATACGGCGCGTTTTTCCCGAAACGGCAAAAAGCCCTGCAAACGAGGCGAGATATCACCGACGAGAGCGGATATAAAAAAAAAATCGGCTTGACTTTTCGAGCGGAAAGCCGAAAGTACTATTCACCAGACTCTATTAGCGCGTACAGGTTTAATTGAAACGAGCACGCGGGTTTAACGCGACGGTACCCGCGTGTGCGCGCGCGCGCGGGCGCGCGCGCTTGACTTAATTGAAAAGCTACGCGACCCGAGAAGTACTTCCGAGAGTAATAAACGAACGGGCGGGCAGAATGTTCGAGTCCTCGCCCTCGATATGAATACACTTATGGTGGAGACCGGTTCGCTGTGTGTTCGCCCATAAAACAAGCTATCGCCGGCGAGATTAATCCCGCTGTTAAAGCTCGCTCATTTCAATATGTCCCTTTCGAGCGAAGCTCGTGGCGCGGAACGCAAGAGAGCTTGTAAAAGAAAAGTTTAGTTTACGATTCGGCGACGAAGATCTTTTTATCCTTCCATCTTATTACAGGCGAGGATTATGTAGCCAGCGTGGATAAAGTGGCGCAGAGACGTAAGAAAATGGAAGTCGAAAAGAAGAAATAAATCGAGCTGATAAATGGACCTCGCGTAGGGATACTTAAGTTTATTAACACTCATTCGTTTGGTCCTGAGCGTCGCAGGGCGCTTGATACAATAGTCGCATTAATCACACGTGCGATACTTGTACGTTTCTATTAATTCTCGCATCCCGATTTCTTTCCCGTGCTCTGCGCGCTGTCGCGAACAATCGCAATTCCATGCGGAACAAATGTTGCAAATCGAATAGAAACCTTGGAATGTTAATGAAAATTCGATCAACCGAAAAAAATAATTCTAGCAAATCGACCGACCGTGTAATAGAAAGGGAAAATACGATTAAACTGTATTCTTTCAATTACATCTAATTCCACATCTCACGTGGAATACCAAGAGCCCATTAATTAATTAAAACATGTAAATCACGTCCTATATAATTCCCTTTGGAATTAAATATCCGCTTAGGATTGAGTAGATTGAATACTCGCAAAATAATGCAAATCAGCTCGAGAAGTCACAACAGCTATCGAGCGGAGGACACGAGCTGCGGTGCCGCTGGCGGAAGCGGACGTCTGCGCGCGCGGAAGAGTAGTAATGGGCGGACGTGGCGGCGAGAGGATGGCGGAGAGGGAGAGAACGAATGGCGCAGGAAGAGGAAGCTTGTTAACGCTCGAACCGAAAACCGCAGCCGGCGTAGCCTGGTCGCCGATATTAACGAGCGTTTC